CTGACTAAAAGACGAATTAAATTATATTAAATAAATTTATTACATAAAAATAATCATTAATTTAAGAAAATAAATAGTGGGCTAATTTGTTTTGCAATTCTTCTACAATGAACCTGTTTCTAATAAACAAAACGGCGATTTAACAGTTCTTTCTTAGAGAAAGGTAATAAAAACTTAAATATATTAAATATACCTTAGTGCAACACTGAATGAGTTATTCTTTTCTGTATAAAGGAAGTCCACCCATAAAATAAATTTTTAACTCAAGTAATCAGCACCAGCAGTAAGTCTTTACCAATATGATTACGTAAATTTGTTTTACAGCACTTGAATACTACTTTAACGATGCGGTTCTTGCTAAGGAATTCGAATAGTTTGCTATCTCATTTCGTAACATTCGCCATGTGTCTCATTGACTCAAATCTGCATTTAATTATCAAAATCAAACTCCATAACAATCAAAGAATTTCAACAATTTAATCGCTATTTCTTTCATAACTCGAATAACCGACGATATCTGAACGCGTATAAAGAAGCACGACATGAATATCTTTATCTTGAGAAATCTCAAGTCTCCATTTAGGTTCATACTGTGCAAAAGGTTGAAATATCATCCATAAGTGCTGTCTACAGTTGTTTCTTAATGCATAAATTGCTATAAGTATAATTATACTTATATTGGAAAAAAGCTTAGAACATTTAAAGGTTGAGCCACAGTCAACAAACTCCTGAGCATTGTGGCTTTACTGTTCACACACTGGAAATAACCATGAATTAGTTGATGCGGTATCTCGGTGAGAAATAAGATGAATCACTGATATCGCAATGAGCAACATCTGACAATGTAATGACTGCAACAGTTCGCACAATATATCGAAGGCGTGTAAATTACCCGGCGGTCTCATGAAAGCTGTGTTCTGCTACCATGTACTGCGCATAGCGTAAACTAGAGACAAAACGCATATTTATTTATATTTCTTAATGCTGATTCATATCGCAAACAACTAATGGACGAAAATACTGCAGCCCCATACGGCCCAGCGTGGAGGAAACATAAAACAACGCCGTATAAAACAAGGAACAATAATATCAATTTATCTACTGGGGTCACTATTCTGTGACACCGCTACTTCTTGGCATAGTACCTTGCGGATGGCGTACATTTGTTTACGGAAGCTACTCACGCCCTTTATCACATTCGCGTAATATGTACAATGACTTTGCTGGTCAATTCTTTCGTTCGCTTGATCCTCTAGCCGCTGTTGTTTTCTTGAAGATTCCGAGGGATATCATCATGACTCCCCAAGTTACCGGCGGGGCTCAGTGGACTTTCCAATGGCCGATAATGCGGATTTCGCGGTTACAGCTCATAATCAATTCCACATCTTGTGACCACAAGTATGATCAGCAACACAGAAACGTCATATATTACGTCTGACCATCAGAAATGGTAAATAAAAATCAATTTAAAACTAGTACGCAACAGTTGACGAAAAAAATGGGACCCAATGTTGCAGCATGATGGTTCGATCTTGCTTAAGCCGCCATAAGTCTACTTTCACAGAGGTACCCGATATTCATATTCCCTCTAAAGAAAAGATATGGACAGGTTAGTATGAGAACTTCCCAGCAGATTTCGAAGTCGTATGCTATAGTCATTTTGTGAATAGCGCTTGATTCGGTTGGTCCATTTTCTAACGTCAATTTTTTGTCAGGAACACAACAGTTACAATGCAGCATCACCGTAAGAGAAAGATATGGTCTGAACAGTTGCGTCAAGAGACGTCATTATTCAGCGCTGCAACAATGTCAGAATACAAAATCTGTGCCGAATGGATAGGTTTTGTCGCTCCTGTCGCAAGGGAACTTATTAACCAGCAGTACGGCGCAAAAGTTCGCCTATTGGCTCCGAAAGAAGTGCCGCAAACGATAAAAGAACTTTTGAAGCCAACCAACACATTTAACAAAGGCCCGTGAGACACGGACGGAAATGTCGGTACTAATTAACCATCTGATTAATCGAGTTGCATGAGCTGTTAACAACCAAATAATGGTCTATGCTGAGAATGCAAGAAAAAATAATCTAACAAGAGTAATACTATGTGTAGTACTGTTTTCCCATTCGTTACTCAAATGGCATTCTCAGCTATTTTTCAATGTGTTCTGCAATCGTGCGTCTCCGGAGTTTCAAAAAACTTTTAACTGCTTAATTCCTTAGACTCTACGTCCTGGCTATGAAAGGTGTCCAGTAAAGGTCAAGTCGCGACTTGTTTTTATTCTGCTGTCTTTGTTTAGCAACCTACCATTCTTCCACAGAATCGAAGTTTTGCAGTCATCGATTCATAGTCAGGGTAAAAGCAAAATACTTGCAACTCAAAACCACTTGCCATGATTCACACAAGAATATGGTCTTCGCATAGAATCATCACTTCCGTTTCTGTAAAGTTGAATTTTTGTCAAAAGTATTTGTTACAAATGCTGTTATGTTACGTTAGTGATGATGTAATATCTGCAGTTTCACAGATTTTTGATTCTGAACTTCATTCAATCTTTAAACCTACCGCGCAACCTTTCAGAAATGATCGGATCAGTCTTTTACTCAGCTTCGTCCAACGATAAACATCTTGCACGTTTTCGCTCATCACCGCCTGAAACATTTCATACCATTCTTCCATAATTCGGCTGTACTTCTATCGGCGCTAATAACTGTAATAAATTTTTATGACCTCATTTCATTACCCGGAGGACAACCAGTCAGGGAAAAATCGACTTGATAAATTAACAGGCTATGAAAAAAGTAGTTCTTGAAGCTGCAAGTTCGCAACTACACAAAAATATGCGACAAATCACAGGGAAAGGCACTAATAACCTCGAACAGATAAAACACATTACTAATTAACACAAATTAGTTAGTCTAACTGAGAGATCTGCACATAGTCGGTATAAATGCAATATATTAGTGAGACTTATTCACTCACACTAAAAATGCATTCAAATACCTTCTCGTGTGATAAGTATTCCCAACGAGGCTTTAGAATGTAAAGCACACCTTCGATTCCGCCATCTTCGGTAAATACTTTGACGGCAAGAACAAATAAGATAATATGCGGAACGATGGTCGTTACGTAAGCCACCTGAAAACAAATCAAATTTGAGCGCTTATACTGTACAATAAGTAAGAAGGCCCTTGTTATTATTACAACTGAAAAATGGGTGACCTTCATGTTCCGGAAAAAGTATAAATAGTTGTCTCCTAGCCTCAGCGAGACAAACTGAAAAAGGTCTGAACTGACATTCCATGATAGTTAGATTGTTGAAAGACCAGATTTCATGACGTACTGCAGCAGCTATGCTTGACCTAGGAGTTGCTAGAGGGAAAAAGACGTTTAAGAATTATATATTATAAGCTGTCAAGACTTATTTACTAGTATCCCTTGAGACAACTATTAAAATTTTTTGTAAACTTCAACTAAAAATAGCTCATTAGGAGAAATAGTAAAAAGTAACAAGTGCATTACAGTGCATTAAGTGCAAGTTTAGTCAAACACTTATGCACCTCTTCAAGGCAGAAGAAAGTTTTCCAAACAAAAAACGATGGATTCATAGAAAACTCTCTTCCATCTGTGTAGAGACTTTCATTTAAAAAAGTTTAAAAACTTAGTTTCCACCCAACCCCCGTTACGTACGATCTGTTATAATTTACTTCGTTCCACTGTTAATGAAAAACAACTGCATCTTAATTTTGCTGCCCGCGCGCTGGTGACCAGCCTTACGCGATGAGTCGTTTACATTCATATGACGGTTCAAGTTGCCCTATTCTGGAATTCTGGCCTGCAGAAACTGAACATCAGCAACACGAAACTCTATGTAACCTAGTGAACAGAACCCATTGCAAGACAGGTAACCATGGCATGATTTTGAAACAATGAAGTTAGAAAAGGAAGCGACGAAAATGGGCTGGAAAACATTTGCCGGCCAGGCGAATACCACTGCTAACGATGACAAAACAGAAGTCGACTATGAATACCATAAACAACCGAGGTGGTTATGGTAATCAGAAACGATGCTGTGAGCATTTTGCAGAGCCCCTAAATAGGCCCGGTTCAAAGTTAGATTCTAACGTGAAAAAAGACACTGGACGAGATCTGGATATTGACCGTTCCCCATCAATCAATCTAATGACTCAAGAAGCGACATAGCTCAGACGAAGCTTAAATCCTGCGGGCACGACGGAAGCAGTGCGGCAAACCTTAAGTGCGAAAACTAAATCCTTTTCAACTAGATACACTAGCTTTTGCAAAAGATATGGTATAAGTCAATGATGCCTGAACACTGAAGACAGGCATGATCATTCGATTGTCAAAACCGAGAATCGCGACAACTGCATAAGTTCTCAAGAAACCACCCTGCTGCCTCTGCTGAAAAGGTTATAACATGAAGGCTTCAGAAGGGGATATTGCACATGGACAACATAATGATGAAACAAGCAACGAGCAGTACGGGAGCATTGCCGTCGTACTCGAAGTTGCTTGATTTCAGGACGACCACTGATTTGGTTTTATTACTGGCCCTGTCGCCAGTTTACCTACCTCACACGCTATCCGATTATCCCACAGCATGAAGAGTTCAATTTGAAAGCCTGCATAATTGATCTATGATTTTTTCAGCTAAATAAAGACGAACCGTACGAACTCCTCTAACACGATGCAAATAGAGAATTCTCAACAATTAGCATAATTAGCGCGATTCTTGGTCGAGAAAATCATGTTGATCAAAGTCTATGAAGATATTAGTGAAGAGTTAACATCATATCTGACTATAACGTTTCATTTAGTTAAAATATCCGTTTAAAAACTATCTCATCTTACGGACAAAATGCCAATTCTTCACAATTTCAACAGTTCATAAGGCGCTAAAAACGAAAACTAGACATCTAAAAATAATAATTCGAAATATATCGAATAAAGCTACACTACATACATATGTAATATAGACAGAAACAATACCGCGTACCTTTCCGGACGATTTAATGCCGTTGAAGAGACAAAAGAAGAGCGCGAGCCATGCAGCCAGGATGAATAAAGCAAGCTGCCAGTGCATCTGACCTAGGTGTTCGACATCTTCCAACAGTTCCAACACCTCAGCACTTCAAAACAACATATCTGCTGTACAGCAAAAACACAAGTAACATGCAACTTACTGAAAATACTCGTCGCTTGGCCACGTAGACATGTTGATCGACACATTTGCCGCATGGCGAGTATCAAAGCACATTGTCTCCGTTCCAGTCACGGCATGTGGTGATCCGTTGGTATAATTTGAGCTGCACCGTGACAATACCACGCAGTCTAAAAGCATCACTGATCATCAAGTGGAAGTTACCAAAATATTTGCCCCGCTGAAAAAAAGAATGATGAGAAACAAGTGTATGCCAACCAAAAGATCAGATATCCAAAATATGGATACTATAACGTTGAAGCCTTCCAGGCTGTAGCTGAAGAAAGCAACAAAATAAGCAACAAAACGTGTTAACGTGCAGTCTGTGTCAGGAGAAAAAGGGAAATAAAAAATGCCTTACTTTCGGTGTTCCATGCATTTCCGCAGCTGGACCACGGTAACTGGGAACGCATGGAAGAAATGAGAAAATGAACCGACCAACCGATCACCACATTATAATAAATAGCCATGAAACAAAGGAAAATAAGCACCGCAATCCCAATGCCTGAAAGGACGTTAAACAAGACATCGAAAAAAGTAAGCAGAAATTCTACCTTTGAAAAGCGGGCACATCTTCCATACAGTGACGCAGCCCAGACTAGAAAACTGGCCAATCGAAATTCCCATCAGGATAACTGGCAAACCAACGAACAACACCATGATTACATACGGAACCAAAAAAATCACTAAACCAGCCCGTATACAAAATAAATACAAAATCAACACATAGGACAAAAAGCGATTCACGAAAGCAAAGGCGAAGGCAACCCTGCCTGAGGGAGCGCACATGAAGTAGAAGCACGAAAGGTCCCTATGAACCTGAATTTTGAAGAACAGCTACTTGTTATGGCTGGAGACCCTAAACTCGCCTAGAACAGTAGGATAACCGTTGAAGAAATCAACTTTTGAGGACTATTACTTAGAAATATTGTTAAGTAAAATAGTAAATTATGGTAGCATTAGTAAAATAAATCAGTGTTTTGAATTATGCGTCAAGGTGATAAAATTTTTCCACCGACCTCTTTTCTGGACGTTAGAAACACTTTAAACTGAGTGAGTTTAGTACAACGACATGTAATAGTCATTCGTACGATTTATTTAGTGCGATTCAGCAATCTGTATGTAAGGCACATCTTCAGAGGGCCAATGACATGTTTTTCAAATAGCTTTACATCCATAAATATGATTATGTTCCGCCACCTTTTCAACAGAGAGTACACGGTCCTCTACACTCGATAATGGCTTATACAGCGCTTTCTGCTGTTGGCTATTATCTGGAAATGCCTATCTTCAGTCGATGGACCATCAAGGTGTGACAGCTGAATCCAAACATCGTTT